TTAGGCGCGGTATTGGCGACATGCCCGAAGAAGTTTATATCTTTTGAAAAGATTTTATTTCATTCATCTACTAAAGTTGAACCCATATTTTCCCCCAAAAAATGTAAACAAAAAACAAAATTTAAGTTAAGAAACAACCTAAATTTGGACAATATTATAGTGATTTTCCCGTCAAAAAAAAATATTAATATGAAAAAAGAGTTGAGAGTTGCTACAGCTTTCCCATTGAAATTAAATTAATTTTAGATATCACTGATCAAAATTTGTACAAAGGTAAAAAGTGACTGCTACACTAATTTGTGACTGCTATCCCTACTTATTATAGTTTTATATGTTTTTATTAATATATTAATATTATTTAATTCAATATTTTTTCTAATATCAAATAATATACCTAGCTATTTCTAATTCTTGTTATATTTATTATATTTGTATTTTATTTGAGTGATCTATTATTACGACACATAGGAATGCTAATTTTGGAGTTAAATATTATATTTTATTTCGTTTCTGTACTTTTAATTTTTGTTGAAGATCTACCGAGAATTTTGTTCTCGTATGGAATTATAATCTAACAAACCCGGCAACCCTGTTCGGCTACTCCTTATAAAGTTTTTTTCGGCCTAATTCCCATATACGTATTACTTTTTACAAATATACTCAGGGTTCCCTATTTAACCCCGTGTGCAATTTCTGTGCCGTAAGAGAAAGACAACATAACCCAGCTCCATATTAAAACTGCATACGTCTATTTCACCCGGATATGGATTGAACTGCGATTGCGCCAAACTCCGATTGATTGTTGTTTTAGTTCTGTTTGGATTACTTTTTATTTGTGCGCGTAAAAGAGTGATTTTGTTTAGTTTATTGTTTCCAACTATTTTTTGATATTTTTCCAACTCCCATGTTAATGTGTTATAAATAATAAAAATATAAATAAAATTGAAAGTTAGGGGAAATGTCAGTCAACCACTTCCCTTTAAAAACATCGACCAATGAAAACTTCTTCAGGTGAGGCATGCTCAGTTAAATGAATATCCGGGTGAAATAGACTTATGCAGAATTCCATATTGTTCTTTCACTGTTTGGGCTTCACTTTTTGGAGATTAGGCTGAGTATATTTGTAAAAAGTAATACGCATATGCTAATTCCTTTGTCACAGCCGCGGCTTTGTCAAGCGCCGCCGCCGACCGACTGTGTCGGGGCGACTGCTAGGAAGATCGTACAGTATTGCCATTTCATAGAATTGCACTTGCTATTTTAGAAATGATTTCAAAGTTTTGCATGTTACTTTTCGTTTTAGAAAGAAGTTATGTGCCTAGAGAAAACATTCTAAAAATTGTTTCGTACTTTATTTAATATTTCATTAAGTAGGCAAGATAATGGGATTAGAAGATTTAGGATTTTGACAAGCCAACATAATTTCGATTTAATTGAATGGCAACACTGTCCGTCCTGTTTCTATTTTTTCGATCCTGTTCTATTAGTAGGCGGTAGCCCCCACACAAGCGTCTTAAAGACCCGCCCGGCGCCCCCTCTCGCAGGGCTCTCTCGTCGTATCACTTCTATGATCACTTCTCCTATACGATGGTAGGGAAAAGACACTTTATCCGTCTCTGTTGCACTGCAGTGTATTTTGCAGCCTTACCATCTTTTTTTATCGCATTGAAAACCTCCTATTGCTAATATTCCTTTGCCAGCAGTGTATATGCTTTGTCCATAACAATGACAAAGTTTTCTGGAAGTAACGTTATCACTTCGGTTTAGCAAAATAACCGCAATCCTTCTGCGCGACTTAGGATTCTGGATTCACCAGTTAATAAACTATCATTTTTTTGATATTCTAACTTGCCTAAAATAGATTCTTTAAATTTGTCGTTAGCTCTTAGACTAACTGAAGAAAGAGAGACTGTATTTACTAAACGAAAGTGTGAACGCAGCCTTAGAGCGGGCGTAGCGGTCGAACGGACAGCGCGCGAGTACCACTCGGAAATTAGCAGCCTCAGACATGTGTTTTATGTTCGATTTTGCGTGTTTTCCTTATCTAGATATCCTGCGGGCCTGCCGAACGACCGTTGCAGGTACCGCCCTCCCCGCTCCGATCGGTACCGGTACCGCGTATCCACATACCGTACCGAGTGAACTTTGCCACGGACCGTTCCGATCGCGCAGAGGTTTTAGGTGTAAATCAACTATTTTACGCGAATATCATCGGGCGAATTTTATAAATTGTTGTGCTCGGAATGCCTGAGAGTATTTAAAAGGGTAGAGGAAATATGTAAAGTTGCTCATGGATTTTAGTTTTCAGTTTTTTTTATTCGAATTTCCGCTTTAACTTTGACTCATAAACGTCAGCGGATGCTTGTGCTTTATACGTAAAAAAATAATTTATTATAACCCTAGATCATATATACTTACGTGGATAAGTAAATCACTATATGGAAACTGTCGCAAACATATCATAAACATATCAACGACTTCCATTTATCTGCTTTTTTTTGTTGGACACGCGGTGCTCCTACTCTATCTATCCTTGTCGAGGACCTATCGTCCACGCGCCAAATTTGAACATTAATTTTAAAAATTTAATTTGTAAAATGCATATATTTGAACAATAAATTGAATGTTTACTGTTACAAAAATTAAATTATATAAAAAATTCATTTAGCCACTCCATTCGAATATCAATATTCTTAGGAAATCTAACTAGAAAGTATGCATCTGGTTTAATATAAATAAAAGAACAACTGAATACTTTACTTGCATATGAAAAGATAATTCGGGGACCTTTATGTTAGAACTTCCACACACCCAACACTTTCTAGTTATTTTTGCGAGTATTTAGAAAGTCCAACGAAAAAAAAAAGAAATATAATAATTGTACAAACTTAAAATTAACTTCTCACTGAACACACTTGCATCCGTGGCTATATAAAAGCGGTCGATAAAAGAGTAATTAATACAATTTTTAAAATAAAAACGCAAAAAACAAGCGTCGTTACACAATGGAAATAAGATTATGACCACAAAACATCCCCCTTTAGAACTTTTTCTTTAATGGCCATAAGCGGGAGTAAAAGCCCAACCGCCCGAACAAACACTAGAGGCGCCACCGGTCATCAAATGGTGTAAAAATTGCGAAAATTTAATCATCTAATTTTGACACAAGGAGTCGCGCTTTTTCAATTTTAATTCAATATTCATTGTTTTCAAACTATATTATTAGACTTTGTTGTATTTTGTGAATGCATTTAGTATAAAGTTGCATTAAAGTAATTTAAATTATATTACATACATATTTAAGATTCAAATATTATGACATATGTGTCAGTTGCCGTCTAAAATGTCATCTTGATAACAAAAAGTTAGTTATTGTCAAAAGTAGTTAAAATCATGTTAAAATGTTAAAATTTACAAGTTATAATTAGATATTTTATATTATTTCAACAACAAACACATAATAGTACAGCGTAATGTTGATATGCAGGTCCAAAACAAAAAGTGCCGTTATATTTTTCGAAAATCAGGCTTTTTTCACTGAAAAGGTATTTTTTGATTTATCAGCAGTCATTGTCAAGTTGACAATATACAGGGTGTTTTCGAATTAGTCTAAAAAAATTATGGTGTGATTCCTCATGTGTTCTTAAAACAATTTTTATATAACCATTAGGTCTAAAGTACTTCCTTTCTGATTTAGAGGGTGTTAAAAATTAAAAAAAATCGATTTTTTTGCTTAACATAAATGGTACACCACTGCTTTTTTAAAAAAAATATATTTTTTTCTTGACTGGCCATCCTTTTTCAACAAAATTTATCTTTTGCCTTTTTCTTGTTCATCAAACGGTTGTCGAGAAAAAAATAAATATGCTTATTAAGAGCCCGCCTTAATTCGTTTTCTAACGATTCTTTATTTTTTAGATTAATTAGGAAACACCCTGTATATGCATATTACAGGCAACCAAATAAACTAGTAACCTCTAAAAATTATTTTTCCTACCACTAGCGACATACCGTGTTTTTAGTGTGTACTAAATTATTTTATCAAAATTTCACCATATAAGTTTCCAGGCAACGATTATGACATAGGATTATGACAAGATTATGACAATATGATGACAATGAAAAGTTGGTTTCCATAACAATGTATAATTTGTACTTTCTAAACCGATAAAATTGTGATTATTTTGGAAATACATTTACTAAGCCTATGATTGTAGTGGCATGATTTGAACTTGATTTGAATATGTTACGGTTAAAGTCCGAGATCCGGTTAATGTCGACATTAGCAGGTTAATGTTTGAGTTTAGTTTTGTTTTTGGTTGTTTTTTTGTGTTATTCTCTAGATTAACCGGGTAATGTCGACATTAACTGGATATCGGACCTTAACCGTAACAAATATATCAAACTACAAACCTTGGTATGAAGACAGTTTTTGTATTATTATTATTTCTTTTTTATTAAAGCTCAGAACAGCACAGTTGGATTCTTTGGAATAGTGATCAAGGTTTTCTCTACTGTGCTCTATTACTTGTGAATTCCAGGCAGAGTACGACACTCCTTTCATTATATTTATTAAAATAAGTAGGGTTATTTCAAATTTAGCGTTTGATTTACATAACCTATTCGTCTCAAATTTCCCTGATATTGCTTTTGTCGAGCGCATCCAAGGTAAGTCACAATCAAAAATATTTTTAACACAACGTAGGCTCCTTCATTTCATTTAAATTGTTTGTTATACAGTTGACCAAAATATTGCCTGTTCAACTTTGTTAAACGATCCTGGGTTGTTATATTACAAGCGTTTAATTTTACTCTTTTACCGTTTAATTAATTAGCAATACAATTATATTATATTATGTTTATACTTGGATTGAAACAATATTTTATTGAGTTATTGACAGAAATTTACAGTCAATTTTCTATTGATTTACTATATTTATAAATAACCAAAAATAATATCTTTTTTTCATAAAATAATAATTTTCCTTTTTCTGTTCCAGGTCCAAATCACCGTACTGGACAAAAACGACAGTCCCCCCTCTTTCAAGGACTCCCCCCTCCACTACACAGTCTCGGAGGACTTCGGTCCTGGTCAATCGTTCGCCACCATCAGAGCCGAAGATCCGGACACTATCGGCCAATTAGAATACAGTATTCTGAGTGGAGACGATGGCAAATTTGCTCTGGACAAGGAATCAGGCATGCTGAGACTGGTGGACAGTTTGGACAGGGAGACGAAAGATGTTTATAAGTTGACTGTGAGGTGCAGTGATGGGAATCAGTACACTGATAACACAGTCACTGTTGAGGTAAGATATAATTTAACTATGTTATTTTTATGGTCCTCTTGATGATACATATATAGGTTATATTCTCCAGTTATATTATTTACAAAAAATCTATTAACTTAAATACAAAATATAACTAATATAACTAATACTCAATCATATTATAATCATTATAAACTACAACCGACTATTCGTATCTTGACTATTCCAGGAAAAAACGCTGCTTTAAACATATAGCCCAGTCGTTAGAGTCGGATATTTTTCCGTTGTTCCCATAGACAAGGAAGAAATATCGTTCTTTATTTCCAGAACACCTTGTATATCTGTCAGGGGAGATTTATTTATCTGTGGCGGATATCTGCGCCGTACAATGTAGAGTCAGTCCTCATTAAACGCGGAGAACGATCTTCGTAGGAATGGGATTGTGTCAGATTGTCAGAGAAATAAGAAAACATAGAGGTGCGCTTGAGAACAGTGTTACAGCATTTTCTCTTTTAAAAAATGTCTATACCTATGTGGCGGATTCATCTTTCCAAAAAGTCCTATATGGGTATTTGGCCACTGCAAGAAAATCTACAAAATAAAATAGTTATTTTTTGTAAACACTGAGGCGTTAATTCAACCGGACACACTACTTGTCAGCAGTAAGGTTTACAGATATACAGATTTGCCTAACGAACAAAAAAATGCTTAACGTTTCGGAAAGTTTATCTCTTTCCGTCGTCGGAAGCAAAAAAAATACAAAGAATAAAGAAAAAAAAACTATTTAAAATATTTAAATTCAACTATTCGAGAACATTTAGTTTTTTAAAACAGATACCTCTACAAAAATGTTATGTATATTTATGTTATGTTCTTTAAAATCAAAGAAGCGATTGCCATACATTGCTAACATCTACAGATGCATGAGCAATACATTTATTTTTATTAGATTGTGTTAAAAAAGCTTTCTTTTATTTTTATTTTAGAGGCTATCGCTTCTTTCATTATAATTTTGGCGTTATTAAAATTTATTCTGTGTCCTGTGTGCCATGAAGGCTGACAAATCTTAGATTTCTGAAAATCTCCACGGAGAAAATTGTATAATAATTGTTACTAAAAAAATAATATGATTTAAGAGAAATTCTAATACTCTATAGGACGATTACCCAGTTAAGATAATATTATAATAGCTAGATATAATCAATTACTGTAAAATATAAAACATTTTATAATAGCGTTAACTATAACTTGTTATTAAAAGACACGTTATTTTTAAAGAAAATTACAATAAATTTTAAAAAAACATTTCTTTAGAAATTATTAAAAAATAATTTAAACAGTAAAACAATTTATTTTATGTGTTAATAAAAAAGGTTTTAACTACTATTATCAATTTTATTATTGTTTAAAGTAAATTATGTTATATTTTATTAGACTTTAAATTATCCGTTATTTGAAAATGCAGTAAGATTTAAAACATCTTGTTTTACATTTTAATAAACAGGGTTTTAAATAGTATGATAAATTCTAATTGTTTTAAGGGAATTATGTAAAAATTTATATTCTCCCGCGCCGTGCACGCGTAGCAATTTAGTCAAGGAATAGTGGAAATAGTGGATGGTTTTCGTTTTGTTGTAAGTTTTAAGGGGATATAAGAAAATATCATATTTTTTAAAATTTCAAGTAATAACATTCAATATAAATTTTTGGTACTGTTTGCAAAAATCCTAATTTCTGGGCTTGATGGTAGTACAAATGGACAGCAGGAAGTTCAGTGTATGGTTCAGCTGAACATGAGTGGTAAAATTTTTTATCAAGATCCATTGCCGTCTCTCAAAATTGTCAGATATTGACTATGTATTTTAAATGGAGAAGTTGATCGAGTTCTGGTTAACTACGATTTGATCTTATAATCTTGGAAAAGCCCGGCCGACAACGGCGGCAACAAGTAAAAGTTAGGTTAAGTATCTACTTGTACATGATATTGTATCATTCGTATCTAAGTAGTAGGCCTAGTAGGTAATATCAAAAATCACCCCCAACTACCTAAATTAAAACAAAGCAAACTGCGACAAACCATAGAATCAAAGCTACTATGAGTAAATGAGTTAATTTTACTTACCTTCAAAACTTTCAGCCAATTCCGGCAATCCAAATTTTTCTAATAACTACCTTACGTTGCTCATACCTACTCCTTGGAAAAAGAATTTAACCTAAACTCGGCAAACACAGTAATTAAAAAAAGGGCAATAATCCTTAAAACATGGTACACTTACAACTTACAACCTAAGCTTACAACAAAACGAAAACCATCCACTATTTCCACGAAAAGGTTACTTTAAAACCTTCACCGGATATCAATAAATCTCAATTTCTTAATTAAATTAATAGTTTATTTTTAGCATGCGTAATAATATGTTATTAACCAGAGGATATATGCGTTACTATTAAAGGACATGTTTACTGTTTAATGTGCTGAAACGTCTAGAACTATTGGCAACGTCGCTGCTAGTCTTCCAGAATGAAATGAGCCGTCCGTCCCACCACCCCTCGCGACGGCCCATGGTCCGTTATAGCGTACTACGTTTAGCTTACGGTGTGTTTGAAGTCGGAATCAAGTCCGAAGTGAACTTTTCAGTGTTTTTCACTAGTTTTTGTTTTTGTTTAATGTACTTTTGAATCTGCGAATTTTCAATATGGTACGACAGTGTCAAATGTGTGGACAAATAAGCTCAAATTACCCGAATTTGTCTTTTCACAGGTATGTATTGTTTCCGCCGCGCCGTAATCGTACATAGGCGTCCCACAAGGGAGCCTCTCACAATTAAAATAATTTCTAATTATATTTGTTGAATTTTGATCTATTAAAACAAGAAGGTAGTAGCCGGTAATTGAATTACAATTCGTCTCAATTACTACCTAACTGTTGTAGATCATAACAAATTTAAATATAAACGTTACATTTGCCAGAAAGTGACATTTTTTTCTTAAAATTGCGTCCTATTTTGGTCATTATATACGTTATTCTAAAGGGATTTTGCTCAATAAATAAACATAGGTGTTTACCCGTCCTTTTTTACATTTTATTGCTTTATTATATCTGAAAATACGTAAATAAAAATGACTTTTTAAGTCAAAAAAAGTCAAAAGGATAAGTTATTCCAAAAAAGGACTGTCCTTTTCAAAAAAGGACAAGTGGCAACCCGAGGTATTTGTGGAATGGAAATTTAATGGCAAATCTACAACTTTGGTTTGAAAATATGTTCCGACCACCTATGTTTACAAAAATGTCTAAAATGTGCCTAAATGCCTCCATATTCTGAAAAAAAAATTGAAAGAAAAGTCACCAACCACAAACCTAATATAGAACTGTTTCGGAAGCCTGAGTCACCCTGTAAATATTCAAAAGTAACTGAAAGTTTATATAGAAGTAACTGAAAGTTTATATAGAAGTAACTGAAAGTTTAAATTGAAAATCGACGTTGGAGTGATTTTCGAAAACTACTAACATTTCAACATAAGTATATGTGGGATATTAATTGTATTATTATATTAGACCTTATAACAAAACTCATCTGACGAAAAAGTGTTAATGTAGTATATTAATATGGAGTAAAAAATTTTACTAATTACTTTACTTTTACTTTACTAATTAAATTCGTTCCAAAAAACGATACGCCACTGGCCATTAGAACAATCCAAATGCGCCTAGTTGCCGGGGTCGGAAATTTTAGACTTCTCTGTCTCTTCTGTCCTTGTTTGACACATTGGAATGTTTGATACACTACCAACGAGTATTTATGAATGAGATGTTCGGTCTATCTTTATAATGTCTTTGACTAAATTACTACGGGTGCACGGCGCGGCGCGGGGTTGACGAGTACGAGCACCACCTCACACGGAAATCTTAGTACTGCATAGACCTTAAAACTTGTTTATAAAAAATATTTCATATCAATATTTTCCAAAAAAAAAACTTTTTTTCATTTATTAGACGCTTAGGTACTCATAAATATGCAACGAATTATAAAAACTGTATAGATCTCAGCTAATCGCTTTTAAATCTGTTTTATAAAGGATAATTGATCAATAAATCTGCATATCTTCCGCATACTAGTGTGATGTGCATCACTTAAATGGCCCAGAAAAAGTAGAAGTGAAATACATGGATGATCAGTCAGTATGAATTAAAATAAGCGGATATGCATCAAATCCATCTAGAAACTAGTAAAAAAATCATAAAAATCTTATAAAGACTTGGACTTTGGAGAAAAAATTCAACTGCATTTTCAAGTTTTTTTTTTAATTTTCTCTAAAACGGTATACATATTTGGAAAAGCATAAACGGGATTTTAATACAAGCAAAAATTTGATGAAGAATGCACTTTTCTCAAAATCTTAATAATAAAAAAGTCTTTCCTCTTGTACCGGGTGTCCCACTAAGAATAGCTCTCGGCTGTATCTCGGAAAGTATTAGCCGTAGGGGCTGCGGAAAAAAATATTTATAACTAAAGAGGCTATGGGAAATTGCTGGAAATTATTTTCAAGTTTGTAGAACGACCGCTAGGGGCGCAACTGCAACAAAAAATATGAAAATGGAGTTTTTACACAATTTTGCCTAGATAAGGTGTACTATAAGTAATAGCTTCATAATCTTCAGTAAATTTTGAATATTTTTTGTTAGAGCCATTTTCCCCTATCTACCAAAATAAAGTGGTGGGGGAAGGTTAGATCTGTTTTTATTAAGAAAAACTCCATTGTTACCACTTCATCAAATTTTAACGGGTCGGAGATATGTTGATTTGGTTAGAACCGATCGTAAGTCTTTGGAGAGCTGCAATTAGGGATAATTTTAACTTCATCTAAGATAGTGCACCTCCCCATACCAGCAGAGTGACTGGAGAATGTCTTGAAACGGAAGGTGTCATAGTTTTGGACTGGCCTGCCTATTTACCAGATCTAAACCCTATCGAACACTTGTGGGACTAGCTCAAAAGAAGGGTTAGAGCTCGTCGAAACAATCCAGGAAATCTCGCACA